AGCCTGAATGGTCTCCTTGTTGTTCAGTGAGTTTTGTGCCGTAGCCCAAAGTAAGTTGGTTGCACCATCAAGAACAAGCAACACCATGTACTTGTTCTTCCTCAACTGAATTTCAGCATGATCAACAAAGATAACATCTCCAAAGTTGGTGGATCGTATGCCTGAAATTCTGGCTCGCGGCGGTGGTGCAATGGAAGTACTACACACACGACACTTGTTGTACATCTCCTCATACTTCTGATAGACAGAGTCAGGAAGTCCTAACATGGAAGTCCTTCGTCTGAATTGAGTAGGAGACATGTGATAGTGTTTGATATGAAGCTTGTAAAGTTCCACACTATCCTCCAGTTTCCTGAGCATCTTTCTGTATGCTGGTGTCATGGCTTGCACTTCACTACCAGGCAGTGGAATCGAAACTCGCCTAGGCTCAAGAGCATCACTACCTAGTTTCTCAACTTGACTTTCTGAATCTTGCTTACCACGGTTGCGCGCAGGTGCAGAATGTTTTGGTTCAATGACTTGAGGTTCATCTGAATCAATTTTGTCCAAACCTAATTCCCTAGCTACCTTGTCAAGCTCATCTTCCTCATCAAGCTTGGGATAGGAGACAACAACCTTCTTTCTTGATGAACCTGATTGAGAGTCATCGACAACCTGAGGTTTCTGCTTACCTACGTGTCTTTTGGCTGCAGGTGGACCTACCTCAATCTTTTTCGAGCCTGGTCCATTTGAAATCGGTTTGCCTTCCTCCTTCTTTAAGGAGCTTGGCTTCTTCTTCTGTACCCCTGATGGCACTGAAGAGGCTGACTCAGGGTGAAAAAGATCATCAATGTTTCCACGAAAGGGCCTTGCACGATCAATGTCACTTCTGACAATGTCATCTGGGATCACGTAGTCCTCCTTGATCTTGTAGATGGTCTTGCCCTTCCAGAACTCTTCACTCTGTTCAGAAAACCTCTTCTTCTCTGTGCGCCAATTGTCCTTGTGAAGAACCTTCTTCTTACTCTTCTGGAATTCCATGTGGGTTTCTCTCTCATCAAGAAGTTGATCTTTTGGAATTGGAGTTTTCTCTGATCGAGTCATCTCATGTAAGTTCATTCTCTTGTCCTTGTGGTGCCTGATGAGTTCACGACGTAGTGGATCAACCTGCCAGTAGTCACCAGTCACCAAAGCTTCTCCTTCAAGATCATCTTGTTTGACAGCAATCTGGCTGTACTCAAAGTGATCGTGTTGTGAATAGAAACTTTTGACTTGTGGAGTCTTGAAATGAACTTGGCTCATGTACCATGCTACATCTTGTAGGTCGAGAATGAGATGAGTACTAATGGCTGTCCTCAAAACCATTTTTCTCATGCCAATACGTGCACAGGACAAATAAGCCTTCTCTGGAGTAAGTTCAAATTGAAATCCAAGGTTTCTCATCTGTGGAAGTGACATCAACAATGGGACATCACCTTCTTCGACAATGTCGAATTCTGTAAACTGAGTGTTCCATCCATGATCATACATGAATATCACGAGCTTCTCAGTACATTTTGATTGTTGTGAGTTTGCAAAGAAGAATCTTGAACTTGTTGGCTGAATTTCATACCAGAGTCCACTGTTGGGATGTGAGTCAACATATCTGCAAAATGCTTCAACTGCTCGTCGAGAGCCCATAGCTCTTGTGCATCCAAGATCCAGAATACACACAGTTGGTGGTGCAGAATTCTCTGTGTGAAAAGCTAGTCCATTCTCACATGCCAGATCAGTTTGTACAGTATGGAATGAAAAAGCACTCTGCTGTGATGGTTCCTCTATCTCTGTAGAGCATCCATGTGAAAACAATGATGTGCCTTCTGCCAATGGCTTCCATGAAGCCTCACCTTCTTGAAGACCAACTTGCCTGGGCACTACAGCTGGACGTTGTTGTACACCTTGTCGTAGTGCACCAACTTCTCCAACCAGAACAGGGAATCTCTTCATTTCTCTCCTGTTTTGATGTGCTCTTGCATCACGTTGGTTCTGTCCTCCACGACGAGTACGTCGTTGTTCATCTTGTGCTGCATACGTGGATGTCAAAACATCAACACGTGCTGGCTCTGTCTCTGCAACATCAACACGTGCTGGTTCAGTTGTTCCAAATGAAAAGAAACCATGACCAGAACTTGAAGCTGCAGAAGAATAATGAGCTTGTTGAGTTGGTTGATTCTGTATGGCAGGAGCTGATGTGGTCTGAGGTTGAACATAGTTCGACTTGCCTTTTCCATCTCCTGGCTTTCCTCCTTTTCCATCATCATCCTTGCCTTTCTTGCCTTTCTTTCCTTTTCCCTTTCCTTTTCCTTTCTTCTGGAAGTATCCATACTCATCCATGTAGTACAGATCATCATAGGTTGGCGTCATCATAAACCCAGAAAACATCTTCTAAGGCATCCAGGAATCCTTCTGCGCCGTCTTCTTCATCTTCGGCCCAATAGCCGTCGGTTCCTTCTAATTCACCTTCATCCAGTACGAGGAAAGATCTTCTCTGTGCCATGCCAGAGGGTTGCATCAATGGATTGTCAACTGCTGTTTTGGTAGTGCAAAACATTTCCAAAAACAGGTCACGTAGTTCTTGAATACTGTATCGATCGAGGGTTCGTCCACGATGTGTCATGATACTTGTGAGTGTGTTTCTCTGATCTTGACTCAGGTCAGCTAGACTTACAAAAATCAATGCTAGCAAATTTTCACCCAGTGGGAATGCTTGTCGCTGTGCTTCTCTACGATTTTCCTGAAATTGTCTGAATGCCGCTAGTGCCAGTTCATCTGTCCAAGGAACAGCTACATGGGGTGTTCCTGAGGCTGCTGCTACTTCAGCTCTCTCTTGTTGATCTCGTTCATGTTCTTGACGTCGTTGTTGAACAAACAGAATTGCTTCAGGACTAGTCACTGTTACTTCTGGAAGTAAATCCATCCAAGACTCAATAAGTCATCCAAGACTCAATAAGTCTATTGCCAGTGAGTTGAAATCTAGTCATCCACTTCTGAAGATCCATGGTTCCTCTGTTGAACTTCATGAACTGCATGAAACGGTATAAGAACACGTTCTGGGCACCTTTGATGAAATGAGGTCGTAGAAATCTTTTGAAATATTGCACTCCTTCATGGGGATCCCTGAGTAGTTCTCTATCCAATAGCCTCTTGTATTGTTGAGCATCTCCTTCCAGTCTGTTGCGCAATGCTGGACCACGTTTCTCTGGTTCTAACTCCGTAATGTCACACCAGTCATCAATTGCATCCTCAAAAGCAAAGAAGCTGGTTCGCCCATCATAGGCTGGAGCAACCTTTGTGGTCATCTGTTGCGTCATATGAATTTGTGTTTGCTGGGGTGCTCTTCTCATTGCATAAGAGTCATATTGGTTCCATTCATTTGCATCGACAATGTCGAAGTCATCATCATCATAGCCATGGCTTGACATTTCTTGGGCTCTACCTGGAGCTCACCCTCAATGAGGGATCACTGCTCCGCTACCACTTGAAGAGGGGCCCTAGCGTCTACTTCAAGATCAGCTAAGGCGGTCTTCCCCAATGACAGCAATCTTTTACTTCAGCCTGTTGCCGGTCAGTGCTTGTCTACAGGGTTACTCTATATACCTCTTTCTTGAGCCTTGAAGGGCATATAAATGTGCTCAATACTCATGCATGTACCTAGTAGGTATTAGGTCGAAACAAAAAACAGGGTGGGGGGGGGATGTTAACGTTCGTGTCGAGCGCTCATCACGTTACGGAAGAGGCACATGTTGTATATGTTGTCGTATGATGTTGTATATGTTGTCGTATGATGGTCAGGGGGGGTGGGGGGATGTTAACGTTCGTGTCGAGCACTTCCATCACGTTATCACGTTACGGAAGAGGCACATGTTGTATATGTTGTCGTATGATGGTCAGGGGGGGTGGGGGGATGTTAACGTTCGTGTCGAGCACTTCCATCACGTTACGGAAGAGGCACATGTTGTATATGTTGTCGTATGATGGTCAGGGGGGTGGGGGGGATGTTAACGTTCGTGTCGAGCGCTTCCATCACGTTATGGTTATTGAATTGCGCTTTATTTTGCTGCATATTCATGTATATATATAGACTATAGAGTAATAAATAAATTATATGTGTGGATATGTATATGTATATATGTATATATATATGTATATGTATATATGTATATGTATATATATATATACATATATACATATACATATACATTGATACATGCGGATGATGCTTGCTTTCACAAGTCATTAAAGAAAGTTTGCAGGGCATCTTCTCCAGAGCAAGCTCCGCTGGCTTCGGTGGCATCTGCACAAGAGCTTCAACAGAATGACAGGGACAATGCTGCAGCATCGACGTCTGCACCGAACTCGTTGCCACATGACCTAGAGGTTGAGTATAATGAGATGGACCAGGGCTCTCCCGCTGCTACATTAGCACGTGAGCTTGGAGCCATTGTAGCTTTATTGCATGTAGAGCTTTTTCTCCATTTTTTAGACTTGGTTGCTTCGTTGTGAACATGGTTACGCTCTTTCGTTTCATCTCTTGGAGGACATTCCTGTTCTCTGGTGTTGCCAACCATTGAAAGAGCGACTCCTGCCGATGTTGCACGTGCCGGTCTTTGCCACCAACGATGCTCACGAAAGATTTTGCCGGGCTGTCATTGAACGTGCAGGAATGGTGACTCATGCCCAAACAAAGGCAGGATTGGAACGCAGAGCATTGGAAGCTATCCAGAGACTTGGTTTTCGTGAGGCAGAGACTTTGGCAGTCAATGGAGACCACCACAAAGCAGATTCATTTCGGAAGAGTATTCGGGCAAACATGCTGCATCGAGATAAGATTCGTCTATGGGGTCCTGTTCGTCCTCGTGAATCGTCTGTGGTGCGCAATGTTTCGATTGATTTGAGCGACCTTGTCCTCCACTTTATCTTCAGGGCCTTACGAAACAGCTGCGTCCGTTCGTGCACGCGGAGCATGGCAGCCTCCGCCTGCAATGGTCGCAACTCTGCAAGTTCAAGTGCCTGCGAATTTTGGGGACGCTCTGGATCACACGGGAGCTCACTATGATAGGTGTCTTTGTATGGTTTTCCTTGAAGACTTTCTTGTGTTTCATCCCTGTTTTAAATGAATGTCCGAAGACAAGAACAGTTTCTAGATCTTGTTTTGTCTGCAGCCCATCCCAGGTTTATGGATACGTTGCTACAACTCTCCGGTGGTTTTTTGCCTCACCGTTGGTTCACGCTTGAGGAGATGCAGGATGCCGCAGGCATGACATGGGAAGATGTTGATGAAGCTGCTGGCGTTTGGTCTTCGATGAATTGTGTCGAACTTGCTGATGGTAGTGTTCGGTTGCTGAAAGATGAGAAAGACTTTTGATCTAGATAACAAAGGAGCTTGACGGTTGGACAGAAAAAGAATATGTGCGATACAGGTTTAAAAACATTGGTATCTACACATTAGTTTGCTAATTACACTGCCATCTTGCCATCTTGCCATCTTGCCATTTTGCATCATGCCATCTTGCCATGTTGCGTTTAAACACTTAAGAGAGCCGTTTCAATGAAGAGACCTGCTGGTCAACAGAAATTCCGTGCATCGCCTGCGCACGGTCACAAGTGCCAAGTCTGCGGCGCCAATGGCCATGATCTTCGCACTTGCAAGTTTCCTGGCGCTGCGCTTGTGAAAAAACTTTTGCAAGAGCAAGGTCGCAAAAGTAGACAGACTGGAAGACGTCCAGTTCGATTTGGTCCGAGAACTCAAGAAGCACAGAAAGAAAGCAGAACAAAAAAATACACTGGAGTCACAAGCAAGCAGAAACGCTTGCGAGAAAGAAAAGAGAGGGCTTCGTATGTGGAGAAAACAAAGAAAAATTTGGAAATGCAAGTGCAAAAGGCCACTGCTTCTGCGCAGGAAGTTTGGGAACGAAACTTGTCCTGCGGATTGTTTCGTTTGCCCAAAGCGTGCCAGAAATGTCAGTACGGAAGATACAGCAAAAAGTTAGAGTTTGTCAAAGGGAAAAATCGGGGCCGTCACCACGTGTCCGAGAAGTACTACAAATATGGACATTATGTGGTACGCTGTGGAGAGCAACAATGCCGCCACAGATTGAATGTTGTGAGAACGGGGCCTTGGCCGTGGGAAAAGTGCAGAACATTGACTCTCGAGCAAGTTGATGAAATTATTTCGATGTGGATTCATGCCTCTCGATCACCTCCTAGCGCACGGGAAGTTGCACGCCGTGTGCTTTGTAGTCGCTACGCAGCCAATTCTCTCTTGGACTTCTTGACGGAGAAAACAGGGGACATTGCGCGCAAACAGTCCACTGGTGCAGAAAGATTGCCTAGTTCTCTGCTCCCGCAAAACGTGTATGAAATAGATGGCACGGGAATTGGCAAGATGTATGTTTCCTGGATCAAACTTTTTTTTGCTTCAGTGAGACACGTACTCTCCATTTGGCCAAACTCTCTATTATCATGACAATCTAGTGTCTCCAAGATAATATAATCGACGCCTGAGGTGAGCTCAAAATCTTCCACCTGGCACAACAAGATCCAAGCGTGGAAAAAAGCACACAACACCCGCAAAGTCCCCAAGTACTTCCAGATTCACATTCGCATTCTGGGCTTGATGTGCCGCATGACCGGAGCTCTGCTGATGCGACCTTTGCCATTGAAGTTGGTACCTCCGATACCCGATGAAATTACATGACATGTTTTGTTGAATGTAATGTTTGCTGAGCCACAACCATGTCAGAATCAGTTTCTCATTGCGCGCTTTCTTTTTCATTTTCCTCTGACGCTGGCCAAGGAAAGCACGTCCGCCGCAGGAGTCGCGCTCAGAGGTCACGGGCACGGATCTCTTGAGTCCGCTTGTCCCAGAGGTTTCGCAGCGACGTGTGAGCAAGACTATCCCCAAAAAAGGTTCAAGGTAGCCCAGGTCAACCACAAACAGAATATCTTCACTAAGACTTATCATTTTCGGGGTCGTTTGTGGGGTAAATCATCTAGAACCATTATCGCTGGAACTCAACAACTTGATGGCACTTGGAAACACTTAAAAAAATGGCGACCTCAATCCATGCTCCACAAAAAGAAACAACAGGTGTACCAAAAACGGTACAGTTATGCTTACAGCTGGACTTGGCGTCACAACGCTGCCTTGTTACAGACTGTAGCATCAGCACTGCCACAAGCGCTCTGGCACCGCTAACTTCGAACAGTGGAAAAAAAAGAGGATTGAATACCGCCTTGATTGATGTGATTTGGATGACTCAAAATCATAAAATTCTAATGTTTTTTTTTCCACCCTTGAAGAGAAAAATCGAATCACCGCGCAGGCGAAATTCAAATTTTCACTCTTGAGTCACACGCCTGCCAATCGAAATCAATGTCCATGTTGTACACATTTTTTGACGACTCCTGCAAATACCAGCATTTTCTCTCTTCCCCTCAAAAATGACAATTTCAAATTCGTCACCCTTACAAGGGCGCCGAGTCAACCGGTTGCCTAGTTTTTGGTGTATGTTGCATTCTTAAAACCAAACAAACTGCTATGCGCAAAGCATGTTTGGTAGATACCTACCATTTTTGGAACTCTGAACCACTTAATGTGGTCTGACAATCAGGTATATACATGTATATACAATAATTACCCTTACAACCCAAATCTTCCTGGAGCAACTATCGTTATCACTGGCTTCATAATGACCAAGTAACAAAATCACAAAGTTCAAGTTATTAACCCTGTAGAATCCCACGGGTATCGGTAATTTAATATAGCTATGGAAATGGACCTATAGATCTTTCACAGTGTTTCACCATGTTTCACCTACTATTTGGTGATTTCCAGTTCGCAAAAGGTTAGTTTACCAGATTAACGTTAGTCTACCAAACTACATTGTTTTACCTATTATTTATCGGTGGTTTTTTCCAATGGGTCGTTGGATCGTTGGACCATGGTCTTCCAACGATCCAACGATCCACCCGTGACACGCGTCGAGGCGCCCATCTGATAGCCATTGAGCTCGCTGATGGCGCGCTGTGCGTCCAAGTGGTTCTCGAAGTTCGCGAAGCTGGCCGAAGAGAACCGAAGGGAACCGAAGAGAACTGAAGGGAACCGAAGGAACTCATTTGGTGAGTAAATCACTGTAGTTATCATATATTGGTGACCTGATCTATATCTATACTATCTATAGTATCTATAGTATCTTGAATATCTACAGAAACTATAGTATTTATATAGTTAACTGATCTATATTTATATTATTATAACTGATCTATAGTATTCTATCTATATTAGTAATACTGCTTAGGCTATAGTTATAACGGATCCATATCTGTAGTATTTACTATTTATGAATCTATAGTATCTATATATATGTATAACATGGGAAAAACAACAAACAACATGGGATTGGGTGTATCATGGTGTATACATGTATATGTATATACAGAGATCCTTAAATAACATAATTAGCAATAATGATAGATATAGTCATAGTTCCTTAAGGGGGATGGAAAAACCTTACATAATCCTGTTGGCATTTAATCCATCTGATGGCTTTGGGTGTTAATATGCAGATCCCAGAGATATGCATAGATATACACATAGTGGTAAATACATATGATAATACATGTATAATCATATACACGCATCATTAGATGGATCTTACTTACTGGAAATTTATGTAGGCTTTAGATGGTTTTAGGGGATTTGACTACAACACAAATGGCTAGAATGGACCAACAAGCAGTGATGACTATTGTCCGTTGCTTGTATACTAGACAGTTTAATACATGTCTATAAGGTTTGCTTTCAAGACAATGAAAAGTGAAAAGCACATGTTCCGTCAATTTAATTTATGTTAATTTATGAACAGTTTTGAATGAATCCCTGAATCCAGCTCACTTCTGATCGTTTTGCACATGGAAGGGACGCTGTCTTGACACCAACACTCCAAGTCAAGGGGGATCATCTTCCTCTTTGAAAGGGGGACAGGAAACTGAATATGTGTTTGATATTGACTGATTTTCTTTGATTATATCACAGAAAAATATGTAGAGTTCTAAAGAATTTTGTAGAATTATAAAGATGCAATTTGATGCAATAGCCATGTTTGATATTGTTTAATCATCATTCAAAGCCACCAGTGCCACACAAAGTCCCCGAGGATGCCCTGCAACAAGCCAGATGCTCGCGCAGCCCTTGCCATCCAACATCCGCACATTGCTGGCACCGTACGGTGCCTTAGCCGGTCCCCATGTTTCGGTTGTTGGTGGTTCCACGAAAACATTCAATTTTATATCTACCCCTACCTCTACATCATCATCATCGTCATCATCATCATCACCATCATCGCCATCATCATCATCATCAACATCATCATCATCATCATCCTCATCCAAAATAGGTCAAAAACACAAACGCGGTTGAAATAACGACAAACCAGTTCTTGGCCGTTAGGATGAGGATATGCTTCTACATCTCAGAAAATCTTGCTGGGGCATCGAGGGTCTAAGATTGTGGTTTACATCATTGAAGGACGTAGCTTAGAGACATAATCACAGGTATTCAAACATGACTGGCTGGAAAATCCTCCATTGATAGTGATTGTCCCATTCAACCTCCATTTAGTTCCGGGATTTCCCAGCCATGTTTGAGTGTTGAAGGGTACGGTAGTGAATATCAACGGGTAAACGCGCGTCTTGATGGGGGAGCACTCACCGTTTTGAAGGGAAACTCTTCGAGGTAAACACCACTCCATAGGTCTATGCTGAAATGGGTGTGTCTGACCATGGGGTATGGGCATCCAAAATGGCTGGCTGGTTTTGTCGGGAAAATGTTAATAAACCATTGGATTTGGGGATACCCTATTAGTCTTGGCCACTGCAAACTCAATGAGAACGTCAGAATACATTCCCGACCTTTGACGGTGCAAAACCACCAGCAGTATATGTGTTTCCACATCCCCTCACTCTTCCTATGAAAAAACTGACACATCATTTCTCCGAATTGGCAGGGCTCACAACGACTGAGGCACAAAGATCTCTGAAAGCTTGTTGACACCTGACAGGCGGGAGGACGAAACTATTCGCATTTTTTGTTTTGGTGATCCAAGATGTTTCGAACATCAGGTGCCAGAATGGAGGGACAATTTGCAGGAAACCCTTCAATATGTTGTGGGAAAAACAGTGCACCAGTTTCCTTCGTGGTTTGCCTCTAAATCAATCCATTAAGGCACTCTGTGGCACCCAAAAAGAATGTCATCAATCTAGCTTCGATGGACTGGACCGATGGGTTGGTGAAAGGGAAAAATATGAACAACTGGAACCCATGTTCGTTTTGGGAATAAACGTGAGGGTTTCCTGTGATTTTTC